CTATAATCCCTCCTCCCAGCTTCTTGCGCACCTCCTCGCTGGCAGAGTATGGGAAGCTGAAAAGTCCTTGACTTAGTATAAACACTGCTTAGCAACAACTAAAACATCAGTGTGTTATCACACTAGTCTCATCCTAAATCCAAAACACAGCACTATGCCAGCTACTAGGAAGAAAATTAACTCTATCCCAGCCAAAACCAGGACAGGCTAGAATGGCAAGTTGTCTATTCTATGAAAATCAAGCTTTTTTTCTAGTTCATCAGCATACAACAGCATAAACACGATAAAAAGGAAGTGGATTATAAGCTTACACTGATGAAGGACAAAAACCATTAGGGAAAATTATATGGCTGACAACAACAGGAAGTCATAGTCATGGTTATTTTTTGTTTGTTTTAAATGGAATGTGGAACAATAGTATTAATAAATGTTTTTTTAAATGTTTCATTACAAAACAGAAAGAGTATTGAAAAACTTTCTCTTCCATACTGGGAAAAAAAAAATTATGTACTTGCAATGCATAAAAATGAAGTTCCCAACTTCCTCATTAATGAGATTAAAGAACATTAATTAGAACTGAAAATTTACTGTCCTAACCATCTTAAAATGCTCCTGCACCACTCGTGTTGATAGTTAACAAACTTGGAAAAAGAAGTAAGAGTGATAAGGTGATTTTCTAAAATAGAGTAACTATACGATTACAGACGGTTAGCTTGATATCTAACTCGGGTAAGTCAGACTCTGCTAATAAAAAGAAGAGGAATATAATTCATATCATTCAAGAGTTCTTTGATGAGATAAATGAATAAACATAACTACCAGTATATGGAATAGACTTCTGTCAAGTACATTATCTGATGTGCTCCAATTAGAAGAAAGTGCAACGTAATACAAACACTTACTGCAAAAAGACTAAGATTTGGCTGACAAGACTTTCAAGTATTTTCAGCATCTAAAGCAGTGAAGTGGAAATCATTACACAGAATTCTGTTTTTAACAAAATTCAGCCAGAACTGGTATTAAGGCTTGATGCTACTCCATATTTTGCTCATGAGCTTAAGACAACTGATGAATATCACCAAAAGCAAAATAGGTGGATGTCAGTGTGAAGTGGTATAAGACA